AGCTACTAGGAACAAGTGCATCGCTTCTAGTAACAAGTGCCTTACTACTAGTAACAAAAAAGCTATTAGAATTAAAATGCATGGCTCTTGCAGAGCACTTTTCTCAAGTTCCAACCCGACTTGTTCCGAGGATCCAACAGGCCTTCTGGCACAACATGCCCATAGCATTCGCCACAGCTCAAAAAACGCCAGTGGATTGGTACATCCCATTGAACACGGAGTTGGAGAGTCTGTTGTATTGGTGGGTGCCTGATACGAATTTCGCCTTGTACAACCCTGCACAAGTCCTTTTTCCACCAAACAGCCGCTCACAGTACAAGCGGCAGATATACAAGACCATGAAGGAGAGGGGGGATCCCAGCAGCGGCAGCTTCTGGGTGCTTGCTGAGCATGTCATGTTTTCGATTCGGCTTGATTGGTCCGGTGTTTTCAGAGTGCACTGAATTCTGCTTGCACTTCGTGGAAAGAGCTGTTCCAGGTCCAACACGGATCCTTGGTGCTTGAGAGCTGTTGCCTTGAGAGACACCCGTTCTGTGCTTTGGGATCTGTCCTCGGCAGGAGAATACACTTTTGACCAATTGGGCGGCCAAAGGATTTGCAGACATCGCATACAAAGCAGCAGATGTGGCCAAGAATATGAACATCGCGGATGAAGACATCCAAGCGCTCTTGGTGCCTTAGACCTGAACCGCTCTTTTGGCAAAACATTCTAGTAGCTTCTTGCTCCTAGGAGTAAGGCCAGGAGCCCCTAGTAGCATCCTTGCTCCTAGTAGCGATGCCCTTTGCTCTTAGTAGCTTCTTGCTCCTAGTAGTAAGGCCAGGAGCCCCTAGTAGCGTCCTTGCTCCTAGTAGCGATGCCCTTTGCTCCTAGTAGCTTCTTGCTGCTAGTAGTAAGGCCAGGAGCCCCTAGTAGCGTCCTCGCTCGTAGTAGCGATGCCCTTTGCTCCTAGTAGTAAGGCCAGGAGCCCCTAGTAGCGTCCTTGCTCCTAGTAGCGATGCCCTTTGCTCCTAGTAGCTTCTTGCTCCTAGTAGTAAGGCCAGGAGCCCCTAGTAGCGTCATTGCTCCTAGTAGCGATGCCCTTTGCTCCTGGTAGCTTCTTGCTCCTAGTAGTAAGGCCAGGAGCCCCTAGTAGCGTCCTTGCTCCTAGTAGCGATGCCCTTTGCTCCTAGTAGCTTCTTGCTGCTAGTAGTAAGGCCAGGAGTCCTTGCTCCTATTAGCTGCGCTTTGCTCCTAGTAGCTTCTTGCTCCTAGTAGTAAGGCCAGGAGCCCCTAGTAGCGTCCTTGCTCCTAGTAGCGATGCCCTTTGCTCCTAGTAGCTTCTTGCTCCTAGTAGTGAGGCCAGGAGCCTATTCGACTTGGAAAGGGATTTTGCCAAAGACGTTTTTAGGACTCCCCGTGAAGGACTCCTGGGAAGCACATGACCTTTGACCGAGGTGAAATACACGAAGGGCTCACAGGACCCATGGGAAGCAGCTTGTGAGTGGCTCAAGAACAATGACCTCTGGCTCGAATGGCTTCTTGACAAGACTAGCTTGCACAATGGTTGGACCAACCTCAATACAAAACTTTTTTAAGCGCCTGCCTCCCTACTTGATAAAGTAGGCACCTACTTAATTAAGGGTCAGGGCAACTAGCCACTACGAGCTACTGGATGCCCCTGTCACAGAAGTTACAAATTTTTAACTGTTGCAAATTCACGGAAAGGCATTGAAGTTCGCGCAATGACGAACCGCACGCCATGAGACCATTGCCAATGAGAGGTTTTGATTGTGTGTGTGTGTGTTTCAACCCATCGATACCGCTGAACGCCAGACTACCTCCGGTGGCATGACGTGTGAACCTTGAGGGCTGTGCACTCTTGTGGCACGAATACTCCCTCTCCTTTGTAACCATATCATCCCAAACCCACGACCCCGTACACATTCAGTGCAAGATGTTGACCCACTGGAGGTTTGATAAGACACAAGCAAGACATGCTGTCATTTCTGTTTGCCATCAAAGATGTGTTTTCGCTGTGCAGGCTTCCAAACAACACTGCATGTATCAAGGGCAAGGGCCTAGTGGACTCAGATGGCAAGTTTGTGCAACAACGAGGCAGGGGAGCAGCCCCACAGCCAGCTTGAACAAATAATTGATGGTTTATTTGCCTTCAGAGATTCAGATTGCACTCTTTAGAGTTTCCTTGTGCCAATTTAGGAAGCAGATGATTAAGTATAGTGTAAGCTGAGCTATCCCGCGTCCTACCTAGAAGCTTACTTTAGCTACGGCGCTACGTCTAGGCAGCTACGTCTATCCCGACCGTTTCCGCTTTCTGGTAAATGTGATGAGCGTTCCAATAGCTTTTTGTTACTACTAGTAAGGCACTTGTTACTAGAAGCGATGCACTTGTTCCTAGTAGCTTCTTGTTACTACTAGTA